ATGTGGCCTAAACTTAAACTAGTTCACAGAAAACCAAGGTCACATAGTTCACATAACCAAAGCCAATGTTCAGTTGAACGTGCCAACTAAGATGTTCAAACATGATGATGACATGGATGCAGACAGATGAATCAGCTCATTTTCATCAGGGAATCCAACAATCGCCATACGAAGCCTTGTTTGGATGCAAAGCAAAAGTGAGACTAGCACTCAAATCTACCAAGAGAGGCTCTCAATAAGTTAGCTACTTAAGAAGATCTTGAGAACATTGAACAAGAAATGGAGGTTACCATAAATGCAACGACATCCTCAGCTAACACATCTGCTGCAGTGGCAATAATGTGGCCAACAGATTCTGTATTATTTTAGTTTGTGAAAAACATTGTAGTGCAGCCCATTCTTGTGGATCCTGCGACAACGATGTCCATGCTATTTGCGGAATACCCAATGAAGCAAACGAAGGGTACGGAGGAAATATTACCTGCAGAGTGTGTCATAATAAACAAGACATCATGGACAACAGGTCAGCAGCTCATACTAGCTTGCAAACTCAAGGTGCTAAGATGCTTAAAACATCAAATACAAAATTTAAACAAGCTGAAGTGGATGACAATGTACGCATCCGTATACCAGATGTTGACAGAGGTCGCGGTGATCACAGAAGCGTCATTTCAGTTGTCATGAGCGCCGAGGGCGCTTTCTACTATTTAGGAACGGAACATGGTGTTCTAAACCAACTGTATGCTAGAAGTGAGTTTTCAATTCTTCACGAAAAACTGCTCTTATTATCGTCAGTTGGAACTGAGGAAAAATCACCACGAACCATCGCATCTTCACAATCATTGACCGGCGGCCAAGGCTACACTCGCTGCAATTGCACAACAAAGTGCACAAAAAATCACTGCAACTGTAAAAATAACAAGCTATTATGTTATTCTAAATGCCATAAAAGTTCAACTTGTTGTAACAAGTGATAATATTGATTGATTGAGACTATAATACAATAAAATATTTGAATGTTTCTGTCATTTACTTTAATGAATAATCAATAAAGCCTTAATTTCATGATCCTTACGGTATAAAAAAAATCCCCAAATCTGCTCATGATCTTTTAATTCGGACTTTGGCCGGTCGTCCCTAGCCAGATGATCTTCTAATTCAGACTTTGGCCGATCCACCATGGCCAGTCCGAGGACTAGCCGGCCAAAGGCCGAAATCAAGCAAAGTTTCGGACTTTGACCGGTCAATGGGAGGCGATGTTGGCTTTGACCGTAACATCATTTACGAATAGTAATTGATTATTAATCATTAAACGTTCTAATTAATTTCTAAATTACATAAAAAATAATCTTACCTTCCCTGTTTTGTGAATTAGATGCAACTAACACTATGCAAATAAATTAATATCTGCTGACAAGTGCTGAAGTGGTGAATGTATGGTTAGGAAGAAGTTCATAAACGATACATTTATCTACATTCTACTCGATATTTGCGAGGGCTAAGAAAAAGGGGTGGGATGGGGGTCGGCTCGGGGAAAAAACTTGAAAGAGACAACAAAGCGCCTTTGTACGTCAGTATCGCCCATTACAAAGCTTACTCAAAGGAGATAATTCAAAGTATAGGCCCTAAAAGTTTATTTTGACATTTCTTGTTGAAGCAAAACAACGTTTTTTTTTCTAGTATTATATTATTTTTTATTATTTTTAGGATACAGGATGGTACAGGATAGAAGTTCTACCTACAGCACAAACTCATATTAACATTGAAAAATGTACAATGGATTTCGGGCCCCTAACCTATTCCGGAATGAAGTACCGCACATCACGAAAGCCCACGACATATCCAGCAGCTCCTCAAGCTATGGGCATTGTTTTGTTATAAATTATAAATAACTTTTTAAAATATTTAAATAAATTTTAAGAACATTTTCAAGCCCTCTATTTGGTCCCCAACCCCTGCCCCATCCGACACAGTACACTTTGGAGGATCGCCCCTGAACCTTTCTTAATAACTATTGTCCACACTGAAAACAGTGTTTCTTCCAGACTTTTTATCCGGGGGGGGGGGGGCACTTGAAATTTTCGGGGGGGGGGGGCGGTAGACTTTCTTCGGGGGGCGGACACTGTTAAAAGTATATATTTTCTATATAAATTATATAAATTTCATTTCGTTCGGGGGGTGGGGAGGGGCGGTAAAAAAATTTCGGGGGGGGGGGCTGGAAGAAACTCTGACTGAAAATCCGACCGTGAATAATATGAGTCGGGTGTGTATTGACCTCGCTCACACAAATGTTACACGCCAAGCGCTTGAGTGGAACCCACAGGGAAAGCGGAAGAGAGGGCGCCCAAGACAGACCTGGAGGCGGAGTCTTCTTGAAGAACTGAAGTCAATAGGGATGTCTTGGGAGATGTCAAAATTAATAGCCGAGGATAGGAAGAAATGGAACAAAATGGTGGAGGCCCTATGCTCCATAATGAGCAAAGAGGACTAAGCCAGGGGCGGAACTACAGTGCCGCCAGACCCCGCAACGCGGGGGGGGGGGGGCAGGCCATTTAGGGGCCCACGGCCGACCATAAAAAAATTGTTATAGTTAAAAAAAAAAATTCTTGCATTTTTGACTTAATGTTTGTTTTGTAAAAAAGATTACCGTAGCTGCGGTTGGATTATCTTTATTCTATAGACACCACCCCTTGGTCATTTTTCCTTCGTTTTTAAACCACTGTGAAAGCCGAGTCCTCTTTCTACTACAATCAATCCTATCAAAGATAAGCAAACGTTTAAACCACTTCCATGACTTATTTCCCTTTTTTAAATAGTCAAATAGTGATGCTCATAAGCCTCTTTTTAATAGATTTGTACTAAAATAATTAAAAAGCAATTACTTTTCTTTATTATTATTTTTTAAAAATTACTTACTAAAGAATGACACTTTATATAAAGATAATGTATTTAAAATTTATAAAAATCATAAAAATAAACATGACACGAGACACCATTATTTACAGAAAGCTTTCATGTTTTATATTCTTTTGACCTATATGATGTTAGAGGTCTTACGGCAGACATAAAATAAAACTAATTTTCACAAAACAGACTAATTCACTTATACACATGACATGATGTTGTAATTTGTTTTAATTAAAAAAAAAAAACACACGTATTTCTCAAAACACGAACAGGCCAGCAATAAGTATCCTATGGTCGTATTTTGTGTTTGAGTATATATATATATATATATATATATATATATATATATATATATATATATATATATATATATATATATATATATATATATATATATATATATGTATGCCTATATATTTATATGGGGGGGGGGCCTAAAAAATTTTTTTGCGGGGTGGCCCCTTTTTTCTAGTTCCGCCACTGGACTAAGCTAAGTGTATTGACCTCCGCCGAAGCCCTGAGACTGATTCACCGAACTTCTGGGGTTCGATCGAACCCAGGTTAAGTGCCACCGATCTAAACTGTTCTGATTTTCTTCTTTTTATTCGTTTCGGCAACACTTCGTCAACCCATTTGAAGATCGAACCCTAACAATTCAGCCCCCCCCCCCCCCCACCCATCTCTATTTCAAACGATTTCCTTCATAATTTTTAGTCTCCTCGTTTTCCTATTTCCCCGTGAACTTCACACCAGCACCTGCTTAGTGATATTTGCTGTCTTTCTGATACTGTGCCCTAATCAACTCATTGTCGTTGCTCCACTGTCTTTAACCACCTAGTTCTAAGCCATACAGTAAAAGAGACTTTACATTTAGTTACAGATCCTGATTGTGTTTTTTTTTTTTGACAATGCATTTGAATTTCACATTGTAGAAAGCTACAAATCATTTCATTGCTGCTGATTCTAATCTGAACGTCATGCAACTATCTATTAACCGGAAAAGTCACAGAAAACAGAAAAAAGTCAGTTTTTGCTAGGAAAGAAGTCACAGAAAAAAAAAGTCACAAAGGAAAAATTTTATCGGAAAAAAGTCACAAAAATAAAGTCACAGGAAAATAAATCACAAAAGTAATTTAAGAAATATTTTTTATTTAATTGTGACAATTGTAACATTTTGGGTATTTATTAATGTGTGTTTTTTAGCGCAATTTCCATTCTGGAGAATTGCGATTATTAACTCGTCATTTCTGGGAATGGATGGATGTATGGATGGATGTGTGTCCGCAGCTTTAAGTCGTCTTTAAGTCGTATCTCCTCCTCAGCGAAGCAATATCGAGGACTAGTTCCAAAAGCAAATATGTTAAGCAAGTTCCGAGGATGAACAGGCCAAAAAAATTACGGAATTCCTTCCTGGATTTCCCGGAAAAGCAAAAAAAAAAACCTCGAACAAATGCAGTTTTTGCTCCATATCTCGACAACCATACCACTTAGCGACTTGAAACATTTACCAATCGATTCCTGCCATAATTTAGAACAATAATGCCGAAGAAAGTTTTTAAAAATATCCTTTCGTTCTGTCACAAAAAATTAATTAAGAACATTTAAACTGAGCATCGTGTAGGCCTAGGATGATTTAAACTGAGCATCGTGTAGGAGTTGATATTTATAGGATGATATTTACAAAAAATTAAAAATTGTTATGGATAACATAAGGAAATTGCGCTTAAATTGTCACTAGACTTTTTATTAACTTGTTTCTACAATCATAGATAGGTCTACTGACACTACTGTTCCAAACATACTAAAAACTGGCCTAAAAAAATCAGCGCCTGCTACAAACTACAGTTCAAATCCAAGTCAGGTGTATCAATTTTAATGACATTATAATTATTTAAATTATTTAAATAATTTTTGTTTGGAAATTTTCATTTTAAAAAATTCAAATGTTGGTTTGAGACTAAATTAAATTTTAAATTCAATCCGTTTTATCGTAACAGGATTGTGCGTTTATGCCAAACGTGTAGCCTACTTGGCAATTTAAAAAAAAAAAAAAAAAGAATATCCTAAATCTATTTATTTCATGTTGGTTTTTTTCAAAAATCTATTAATAGTGTATAGAGTTATTTCCTGGTAGAGTTGGAATCCATTGTTGTTGAAAGTAGTCTTGATCGCAAGATCTAAACTCTAGATCTTACTCTGAGGCCCTATTACTTACCTAATTACGCAACAAGGCTTAGATCTAATATTATTAACTTATTAAGTAATTGCAGAGAAAATAATGACTTTATTTCATTATTTAGTAAGTAGATTCTTCTGTCTAGAATCATAATTGAATTCATAGAATTAGAATCTTTAATCGGTAATCTATCGTTTTAGGATTTTAGGTACGTAAAATCGCCCGCGACTAGATCTAGTAATGTGAAAAGCAGGTGACTCCTTAAATTTTAATAGGCCTAATTATTTCACATTTTGAGGAGGATTAATGTTTTGAAAAATACAAAAATGTTTCCTTCTTTCATTTATGTGCCTGTTTTTTTAAAATTGAATTAAAACTTTACAATAATAAATGAAGACTAGCGATGTTTCCAACAGATGCAACCATGCTCATTTACTATAGCAGCCATCTTGTTTATTTTTTTTTTATTGTAAATAGCGCAAGATTCAGGGAAAGCCACTCTAACTTACAGATGGTCGCTTTTTATATAGCAAATCCTGCTCGCAAACACTGCTGTTTTAAGTTAATTTCTTGCCTATATTTACATATTTAGCTATTGATTTAGGTTTATTATTAATTTATCTATAATATTTGACACAAATATATCACAATATACTTCTATTAAAGCCTTGACAATGAGGTAACTTTTTCGTACATTACTAGCCGCGGGCGATTTTACGTACCCAAAACGATAGATTACCCTTTAATCTTTCCTATAGGCTATAGGCCTATTATTATTATTATTTATATTTAGGGTAAAGGAGGGCGTTAAGAGCCGTGTGGTATTAAGCCCCAATCAACACCCCACCCCCACTAAACCCCCAATAACACTGCTAATCTACTTCTGAGGTAACAATTAATGCTGTTCTTTGATAACAGAGAAGCAGAGGATTCATTTTATGTAATTTATGACCCACTTGGTCCAATAGGGAGAGGATGAGACAGGATTTAATCCCACTGCTCTTTCCCTAAAATTTCAGATCTCCATAAAACCATTTTCATCATTTTGAGACATTTTGTGAACTTTTTTTCCAAATAGACATAACTTGGGAAACTTCACTTTGTAATAAACCAAATGAGTTTTTCAAGCCCATTCTTTGTTCCTGTATTAGAGCATTGGTTGTTGTACATTTTAACACTATTTTTATAGCTATGGCTAGAATAGTTTTATTTTAGTGAATTTTTTTTGCACAGTGATTATTGGTGCCAAAACAAAATGGCCGACATTTGTCCCATTTTACCAAGCTATAAAGTTTTTATCATTATCAGAGTAAAACTTGACTGATCATCACCATAATGGTTTTATTTGTTAGATAATAACTAAATCTACATGAATACATTAATTTTGTCCACTAGCTTGCCTGTTTAGAAAAGTTATAACAGATACTGTTATGTGGCTCTTGAAACCCTATGTGCAAGTTTCGCATTTATTAGACCACTGAATATGACACTGGTATAGGAATAGTTAACACAAAATGTATTAATTGTTAAACAGACTTGTGTCTAAATGATAGAAATACTATTCTAACCTGCTAAAAAGTAAAAATTCAGTCATCTGATGTTAGCAAGGTAATTTTTAAAATGGTACAGGTACTTATTACCCCTAAGGGGCAATACAGCCGACTCAGCCCCCACCTGTTTCTAACCAACCATAAAACTTTCAATCTCTTTGTAGGTAACAGGAATAAATGTTCTTAGGTCTCAGCCAATCTGGGGTGGTATGTTATGTAATTTATGACCCTCATGGTCCAGCAGGGAAGTAAACAGACACATTAATACCACTGCTCCCCACCTTACAATTTCTTACCCCCATGATACCCAGCCCCACCAGTTTCTGGCCCACCATAAAACTTCATCTCTTTGTAGGTAACATGGATTACAGTTACAGATCTCAGACAATCTGGGGTGGCATGTTATGTAATATATGACCTTCATGGTCTAGCAGGGTGGAGACCAAAGAGGAATCAGTACCACTGCTCTCCCCTCACAATTTCTCACCCCCATGATACCCAGCCCCCACCTGTATCTAACCCACCATAAAACTTATCTCTTTGTAGGTAACATGGACTTAGTTCTTAGATCTCAGCCGACCAGAGATAGCATCTCCTTATGTAATTTATGGCCCTCAGGGTCCAGCAAGGAGAACAAAGGGGAAACCAGTACTACTGCTCTCCCCTCAACATTTCTCACCTCCATGTCATGTTATGTAATGTATAGCACACATGGCTTATCAGGGGAAAGCATTAAGGCAGATTAGTTAGTACCAACCCTTTTTACATACAAGAATGTTAACTCTGGACAGCTACACACTAGTATACTAGCTACACACTAGGCATACTAATGTGCCTACTGTAAACTACTAGACTTTAGGCCCTATGTACACCTGCAATTGTATCAATTGTAGACTGGGCCCATTGGGGCCTAGTGATAGCTAGTGGCAGTTAAAGTGTGTGTACACAGCATTAACTATTTTGGGGTTAGAAATGAATTATTTTTATTGCGGAGTTAGTCTAAACTAGGAGATAATACTTATTGCCCCATTGCCGGCTCCTTTCACCCCAAATGCTGCTTTTGGGGGTATGACAATAAATGTTCAATTAAACCCATTTAAAGTATATTTAATAGACTTTGTTATTATTTTTATATTGTGTAAGATATGTTAGAATAATTTTGCCATATTTTCAATTCTAAAAAATTCTTAGATTAGTAGAAATCTTTAAAAATGTACAGGTGCTAAAAAGTGTGGCTCTTAACGCCCTCCTTTACCCTAACTATAATATATTATTTTATTATTCTATCTAGGCCTATAATTATAATTATACTATAACAAAAGTATAAGTGTATACTTATGTACTAAATTACTAAGTAAGTAGTATGTTATGTACTAATATAATTATATACATACATACGCCGCTATTTTAGTTGTTTTTTCTACTTTTCAGTAATTCATAATTTGTGAATTCGACAGTACCAACGCTGCCACTGAAAATATTTCTTTAAAACACTATAAGTAGCTCGTTAAGGACCATAACCCCCCCCCCCCTTCCTTCCCCCCCCCCCCCTTCCTTCCCCCCCCCCCCCCCCCCCCCACGTTTAAAATCGTTGGCTCAGCTTGTAAACATTTAGAGTTAACACAGCTCACTAATACCTTGTAGGGGTGGGGAGGTAGGGAGCGCGTTTACAGCTTGTTTTCTAGGCGCGTTTGCAGCTTGTTTTCTAGCGGCTCCCAGAAGAGAATTATATATATAGATAATATGTACTGTAGATCTAGTAAAAGAAATCTAGATCTAAGTAATCTATTGTTTTAGGTATGTAAAATCTGCCGAGACTAGTAATGTGAAAAAAGGTGACTCCTTAAATTTTAGTAATTTAGCGTACCCGTCCCATGCGTTGCTGCGGGAATAAAAGAACGTCCGACGAAATATATTAGAAGGGTTTCATCCATGCGTTACCAATCCTTTATTCTTAGACTCGTGACCTTGTTTTCTAAAAGTGAGTTATTTAAATGTAAATAATGCCTTCGCTTGGATCATAAATATCGGGACACGGGTTTACCTACACTACCGTATGAAAACCTTAGTGTACATTAATCACTCACACCGAAATAATGAGGTAGAACACACTTCGGTGACCACCCATGTGTCAGGGACGTAGAGGGCGGTCTCAGGGAAAGTTTCTGCAAAAAAAACCTTTTTAAATTTCCACTACTATTTAAAGAATACCACTGCCATGATTAGTCACATCACAGTTACAGGCGATAATCACTTGACATAATGGCTATTATTTTCTTCTTCAATATTTATTCAATTACTGCCCTCATTTAAATCCGCATACAAATACAACTATCTCACGTTAGGGCAAGTAAAGGCGGCTGGGCATAGTGCTGACCACTCTATCTCTTCATATGCCGAGGTCACAGAAACAAGTGAACTCTACTTCACTTGCCCCATAGACCGTAAGGTTTGAAAGGGAATCTTTACTTTACTTTACTTACAACTATCCTTGATATCAACATCACACCAAGTATCTCTCATATTCACTTCCTAGCCCGAACTCCCTTGCTTTCATACCATAACAACCAGTTCTTATCACAAAACATCACAGTCTTTCTTCCATACATCCATTATATCTCTTTCACACCAACCATATTTGCCAAAAACATGAAATATAAAGGAGTTAAAACTGAATTTCAACTGAATTATTTAGGACACTAAATCAGCTTGGGCTTTTTTTTTAAAGTGTTATGCATTTCTTCTGAGACCACAGCAACATACTACAGGTACTGTAGTTTAGTCATAGTTTTCTCAAACACTATTGTTGATAGTTCATTCCAGGATATTTTAAATAGGTTTGGCCCTTGATTGTGATTTTTTTTTTAATTTTATCTATTAAAATGTGTAAAATTTGCCAATAACATGCACAAGTTTAAGCCCATTGGTTATCTCTTCTTGATGAAATACAAGAATTGTGCTGATATCTGTAAAAAATTTACCACACCTGAGTTCGAGCATAAACTTTAATGCAGGTTTTAATTTTCAAACATTTTATTTAAGTTTATTGTTATTTAAGGTAATTTAATTTAGCCTCACCACAGCACAGCAAACGTATTTCAAGTACAATCAAGGGGCGTAGTGACTCATTCTGAGGCGAACTTTTTATTTGGTGCCCCCCACCTCCATATAATTATATAGTTCTAATTTCTATGGCCTATATCAGAAAGAAAACACCAACACCACATGAGGCTTTGGGTTTTTTTTCTCTTTTACCTGTACTTTAATTTTCCCCAATTGCAATTTCAATATTTAAGTGTGCAGTTCATTCTAAAAGACAGGTTTGCAAAAGCAGCAACAATCATTACAGAGTTTTTGTTCCCCAGGTGCTCAAACTACTAAGTACCACTGTATTTATTTAATGAACATTGTACCATATTTTCAGTTTCCAAATGGATAGCTTTAATATGGCACAGTTTAAAGGACAAGCAAGAATCACAACTGCCACAGGCGAGCATGTACCTTCAGCTGTGGCAATAGGCATTGGAAATAGATCTGACTTTGTAGTACATCAGAATGATTTGGGTAAAAATTATTTCTTATAATGATTAACTTATATTTAGTCTTGTCTCTTATACATTAAACATTACACATGCAATAGTTAATTTCTAAGTTTTTGACATTTTAAACATTAGGTTTTTACATAGTTAGCTTGTTAACTTGTGTCAAGAAAAATAAATAGGTTGTCCAAACTGAAATCGATTATCGATTGCAGCTATGTGGGTAGTGAGTTTCTACTGATAATTTTTTTAATTGTAAGGTGTTTATGACACTAATGTTATGAAAATAATTCAATAAATAAAAAAAAAAAGCAAAAAATTGCTTAAAAACTGATTTTCAAAAAGACCCATTTTCGAGAACCAATATTTTCTAAAATAAATAACAGGTATTTGGTAAAGTTGTAAAGTATATATGCCCAATTTTTTTCGGTTATCTAAAATTATTTTTTCTAAATTAAAAAAAAAGTTAAGTGAAAATTACAAGAATGAGTTTTAGTGGGAGGGGTTTTTTTTCAGAGCAAAAAAAATTTTTATAAAAAATGACAGTAAAAAAATTGTAAGAACTAGATTTAGAATAATATTTTAAATGTTACAATGAAGATACATTTAAGCAAAACAATATGCTCTCTTTTTTTATGAAGCCAAGAAATATTTACTGGAAAAAAAAATGGGTAAAAAATACCCACCACACAATATTTTAGCAAATGATGGTTAAAAAATGCCTAATTTAAAAATGAAAATGATCATATAACTGTTAAAAAATAAATTAAATCCATGTTAGACAAGTCCACTTGTACCACAAAAAATAATCACAAATGGTAGCTGCAGTGAGGTTAATTCAATTATTAATAAAACAGATAGTGTTAGTTAACTCACAAGTTATAGACAGTACAAATACTATTGACATTTCGACTCATGGTCTTCGTCAGAACACTATTGTGTACTGATGGAAACATCCATAGCATTTGTACCGTCTATAACTGTGAGGTAACTAACACCTTCTGTTTTATTACTAATCAAAAAATAATCAGGAACACAATAAATGGCTAAGGCCAATAAATATAGTTGACAACTTAGTATTGATTGATAGTAAATTTAAATTTAAAAATAAATTACGTCTTTAAAATTTATTGTGTTTTTAATTTTAAATAATTAAATAAAAACTTAAATAATTGAAAAAGTTACAATAATTTAAAAGTTATTTTGTGTTTCATCAATGTTAAATGTTTTATCTTCTTTCCTTGTTAATAATTGAATCTGTTCAGCAAGAACTACGCTTGTCAGGTTGCAATTTTTGAATTTGTTCATTTGTTAATGCTTTTGATGTGAAATTCAGAAAAACATTACTTAGACAGCCTAATCACTTATCCGCTTTGGTAGATTTTAAAGAAACATTAAACATATTTTTAATCCATAGAATTTCCTAAATTATTGGAATAGCCTCACATCTAAACACACCATATGTACAAGCCTAGTTCACAGGCTAAAGCTGTTTACATTAATAACTGGCACTTATTAAATAAATCAAACAAACTTCAAAACATAAAATTCATTGATTAAAATGGAAATGAAACTTAAAAAATATAACTTAAAGACTCTAGCAAGGTTAAAATCTGTTAGCATCATCTGCCATCAACCCTTAAAACCATTCTGTGAGTTTTTCACGCGGGCTGTATATTTCTTGAGGGCATGGCTTCATGAAAATAATGCCAATTACTTGAATTTATAAAACAAAGTAGTTACAAAAATAAATCCTTTAATTGGTGTAACAATTTTTTAAAAATTTTTTGTGTTTTTGTGTATTTATCTTCATTTAAGGTTTGCGAACTGATTTTTAATGAGAAGTAATGAAGTAATTTTTTTTCAATTATACATTGAACAGTGGGCTAGAACTTGCTTATTCTTGTGGACATTAAGATCATGTTTCTACTACCCTAGGCCGTGAAGCAGCAACCAAATGTAACAACACGGCATTGATTGACACATATGAAAAAACAAGCTTTACTTCATACAACCACAGCAATGCTATCTAAGCACTCCACCAACATCTACATCATGTGTTTATTTTCAACCACAACAGCAATCTTGCACTACACATATCACATAAGCTAACTCGACAATATTAAATACCACATAAACTCACTTGATGTCATATGACATAAGAAAAGCTAACTTGTGTCAATATGTACACGTATGCTCTAACAGTTGGCATGATTTAATTTGGTTTTAAGTTAAACAATTTCATGAAAAAAATTCATCGGTTATAAAACACATTTTGGAAATAGAGGCAGGTAATTTTGCACCATGCTCAACCACTACCTACACCAG